AACATTAATTTATTATTATTATATATTTTTAACGCTTAAATTAAAGAAAATTATGTATAATCAATCAAAATCAATAATAAAATATAGGCAGGCAACAGTATTTACTGGAAAATGTATGAGAAGTTGCCTAAGTCTAATAAGTTGTCACTGAAGAATTAGCCTGTTTTGTCAAAATAAAAAAATACCATTTAATAATAGCATGAAGTTAAAATGTATAAAAAAAGGATCGTTATTTACATTTTCATTTTTGTTCGAAAGAAAACATAGAATGAATGATTAAAACTGGTTTCTCATCAGTAAGTCATAAAATTACATTCCATCCACATATAATAATCAAAGGCAGAAATCTTGAAATCTAGTCCTTGCTGAATGAACATTTAAGAATAAAGGGACATACGAGCTTTGTTCCAACACACACACAAACCGTAATATTACGGTCATCGTCATGCGCAGTAAATAAAAACCGTTCGACTTTGGGCTTTATTGATAGGTTTTTATTTACTGCGCATGACGATGACCGTAATATTACGGTTTGTGTGTGTGTTGGAACAAAGCTTAAAGAACATCGTAAAATGATAATTTATTGTTTATTTTAAACCTTTCAAGTTTCTGATGTCTACTATTTACAGCATTACTGTTATTATTACAAAAATGAAGGTAATTTTTCTTCTTATTGTACATCTATCCATTTATTTCTTTGATTTAATTTCCACTTTTCTACTGAAATTTTTTACATAAGTTTCACTGTTTTTTTTTGGCTAGTATTTGTACAATTGTCAACACAGCAACTCCGGTCTCTTATTGTATTGTTTGTACCTACTTTTTTGAAAAAAAGTAAAATGTATACGTGTATTTGATATGCCAAAATTACAAAATATCTCCCTAAAATGCACGAATTATCCGCAGGTAGCGCTAGTATCGCTTTTGCTTCCCTTTCCATGACTTCGCACGGAGCGAATAGATACTACACTTTAAATAAATATAAAAATTTATTGGAAAAATTACCCGAACAGAACACACATTGCATTGTATTTATTATCGATGTTAAATGTTACAATTTTTCCTGTTATAAGTATATGAATGTACATTTACGTACTTAATTTAATATTTATTGCCTTATTAAATAAAATTATATTACCTAATTGCTTCTGTAAATTATATTTATTACGCAAAAATTGATATACTTAGGAATTTTATAAACTTTCAACGTGCCAATTAAAATTGTAAATTGAAATGTAATTATTGTTTATTTATTTATTAGCATATACTTTGGTATAAACCGATATTAAACTGCATCTTGTGCATTTGTGTCTGGTGCAGATGCTGGTAACTCAAATAGAAAAACATGAGGTTGGTAATTTAGTACCACTCCAATTAACGGGATAGCGCTCGTATCGAAATGTCATGTCAGTTGTCAGCTCGTCAAAACTTCAAACTTAGAGAAATTAAAATGGCTAATGGCTATTATATTTTAATGTGTATTGAATTTTGATTCATCTAGAGTCTAGATTTATTTATCAACACCTTCCAATTTTAAGCATGTTTTCAAACGATAGGAAGATGGATTTCAGCAACAAACAATAAAGCACTCCCAGATATTGATAGTGATGCAATTTATTCGCTCCGTGCGAAGTCATGGAAAGGGAAGCAAAAGCGATACTAGCGCTAGCTGCGGATAATTCGTGCATTTTAGGGCGATATTTTGTAATTTTGGCATATCAAATACACGTATACATTTTACTTTTTTTCAAAAAACTAAGTAAAAACAATACAATAAGCAACCGGAGTTGCTGTGTTGAAAATTGTACAAATACTAGAAAAAAAAAACAGTGAAACTTATACAAAAAATTTCAGTAGCAAAGTAGAAATTAAATCAAAGAAATAAATGGATAGGTGTATAATAAGAAGAAAAATTACCTTTATTTTTGTAATAATAACAGTAATGCTGGAAATAGTAGACATCAGAAACTTAAAAGGTTTTTTTTTTCTTTAGTGTGCGGCTTCAACATCTAAGGTCATTAGCCTAGTGTTCTATGTAGGTTATGGATTGTACTAGTGTACTACTCTAATACTCCTACACCCCTACAGACAGGCCTTGTTACTGTTTCCTTGCGCCACTTTAGGAACAGCACTGTTAATTAGAACCCAACAGTGAATGGTCGAGTGGGGAATCCTACCAAGGCATCAGAATTAATTTTAAATAATAAAATTAAATAAAAAAATCCCGGCCAACGGTGGGATTCGATCCTGAGACCTTCCGATCTCAAAGACATGACTCTAACCACTTAAAAGGTTTTAAATTAACAATACAGTTCATCAAATTTCTAGAGGGTTTCGACGGCTAGACAGAGAAAGCACTACTGACAGGCATCCCGACGGATTTACGCAATGAAAGTACACTCTGCGCATCAAGTAGTTCACTATTTCATTCAGACGTAAATGTCAGTTGTAAATTTCGCTAAAACATTTCTTTTATTTTCGTTTGTGTTTTTTGCTCATTACAGTTTAATATAACCTAAGTATAGAGTTTAATAGCAAATTAAGAGGCCGCGTGATTAACAATCAATCTCGCGAAATAATAGCCAATGTTATAGAGTTTATGAGAAGAGAAGGAAACTTTAATTCACCTTTAATACCATTTAAAAATGTAAATGATCGTGTTGCTGCAGCCACAGGAGTATCTAAAAACACTGTCGTCCGCATTTCTGGAGAGAAAAAAAGAATCGATAACCGTGAGATATCGGAATTTTCATCACCAAGAAAAACCATTAAAAAACCAAAAACAGTTAATGATATAGATGAAGCTGCACAAGAATCAAATTTTATTTTTTTATTATTAGATAGCTATTTTTGTTTCTGAGTTGTGTTCATTTACAGGCTCAATTTGTTTCCGTTTCTCCTTTTTGATTTTATATGGGGTTTCAAGTTGTTTTTGACTTATTTCGACGTAAATCACAACAACACACTTTTTTAATAAAGCAAACAAGTGTTAAGAGGTATATGTACGTGTAAACTACAATTACAAAAAATTGATATGAAACCCATGAAACCACCAACAAAAATGTAAAGCTAGCTTCCGTACTAGAACATGGTGTCATTCGTCGAGATAATTTATCGTTTTGTTTTAATAGATCAAGAAATGTAAATATTCCCGTTATTTTTTATAAAATTATAAGAGAAATAAATTTTTTTCTAAATAGTATAGTTTATTATTTTGTAGAAAAACAAAATTTCGAAAATTTTAGTAATGTTTCAGAAACAACCGTTATTAATAATAGGTACCATTTTCCTTAATAAGGTAGAAATAAAATATAAACTATTTCCACTATTTACAAAGGCCTACAAAAAAATTATAGGTATTTTCCGCTATCCTATAAAATTTATATTTTCTGACTCAATTTCAGAAGGTTGAAGGAATTCCAAAACACCTTTTATGGCATAATAATTATTTTCAATTCTACATACTATCTTCAGCTGCTTTTAAAAACGTTCTAAGAAAGTCCAATCAGACCAATTTAATCCCTAAACTATTCCACACTTTTAAAATTTAATTATATTAAAAACTATTTAAAATAACTTGTTTAGCAGACTGTACAATAGCTATCTTAGTCACACGTAGCGCGTTCTCTGTCTGGGCGTCGAACACCTCTAGAAATTTGATGAACTGTAAATTATCATTTTACGATGTTCTTTAATATCCCTTAAATTTTCATTCAGCAAGGACTAGATTTCACGATTTCTGCCTTTGATTATTATAATGTGGCTGAAATGCAATTTTGTGACTTACTGATGGGAAACCAGTTTTAATCATTCATTCTATGTTTTCGTTCGAACAAAAATGAAAATATAAATAACGATCTTTTTTTTATACATTTTAACTTCACGCTAATAGTATTAATTTTATTTTTTTTTTAATTTTGACCTCTGAGATTTTGACAGAATAGTCTAACTCTTTAATGACAACTTATTAAACTTAGGCAACTTCTCATACATTTTCCAGTAAATACTGTTGCCTGCCTATATTTTATTAATGATTTTTATTGATTATACATAAGTTTCTTTAATTTAAGCGATAAAAATATATAATAATAATAAATTATTGTTTTACTTGTTTTAAAATCCATATACTTTTATTAAAACTAACATATATACTTCTTAATTACGAATTCTAATAAAAATTGCATTTGTCAGTATACGCAGAAATAGTCCATTAGTACCAAAACGAATTGGCGCTGCTGTCGCGCACGGAGCGAATACCACATTTAAATATGCAGTCATCATATTAAGGATAACCAAATAATTTGTAATAAGTGTCTTAAGAAAAATGCACCATCACTGTTTCGCACCAACGGTAAGTAATATTTATAAACTTGTTTTTGATTCAGTGTTAAAATAATTGGTTTGTTATTTAAATTTCTTTTTGTTTTCAGTTTTTAAATGATCATTGTTGTAAGAAAATATTGGCCCTCCAAAATACCCTGTCGATCGATGAAATATTTGAGCCTCAGCCATCAGTATCAAAAACTGATTCAATGCCATTGACATCAAACAAGAAAACACCCTTTAATCTTCACAGGTCCAAACGTGTGTAAGTTTAATTTGAGCTCAAAAGTTAAATTAGTTTATCACAGTGCCCACATGATGATTAAAAATTTGATAACTACAAGTGCTGTATAAATACATCAAGAAAACAATTATCGGATGAAGAAATGCTCCTCAACCTAACTAGTCGACTCAATAACCGTATGGCAAATTTTACCCACACTTAAATTAAAAATTGTATTATTTTTTTTCAGCCGTGGACGGAATTAGAACCCACGATCGGTGAGTCTGGCGATCGACGTGAGCGAAGACCCGCGCCTTAGACCGCTCGGCCAACGAAAAAACTTGAGGTAGTGGGATATACTGACAGTAATAAGCCACTTGCTTTTATAGTCCAAAGGAGAGTTACAAACATACATACATACAGGTGAAGCTTATAAAAGCGTGTTAAAAAATACCTTGTATTATTTTATTCTAGGTTAGAAATACTGATTTATAATACATACACTCCCTAGTTACAATTTAGGGCAAAAACAATTCATCCAAAGGGATTTTTGACAAAACTTTGTTAGAGGTTTGTAGATAAATCATTGAAAAGATTTGTTCAAATCCGTCTTTGAGTTCATTGAAGATTGACAAATTATTTTCGTTGATGGTTTTGAGGATTTTATCTTCTATAGCTTTGTCTGCTGGAAATAAATTAGTAAATTCGAATATATTATTCTCAGGTTGCATATCCATGGTGTACTTGGTAATACGAACATGCGTTTTTCCATTCTTTTGGTATTTTTCACACCACATTTTGTGTTGATCTCGAAGATTATCTAAAAGAAAAAATAATACATAAAAAGTCAGATAGTAAAAAGGTTTTTAAGGCTTGATTCTTATGCTACACCCCTGACCTACTGACACTAGTCTGACAGATTTTAATTTTTAATGGGTAGTTTAATATATTTTTAATACAAGTTGGTTCTAGGAGTAGCCAACGAAAACGTTTCAGACTCACGCGCATTTAATCTTGGAACTAAAAACATAACTTGTTCGAGAAGCAATGGACAGTCAATTAGGACATGCATAATTTTATAAATAATTGAAATTGACATTACAACTCTACGAGTTTCAAGTGCCTGAATGGCATATCGGTATCACAAGACTGGCTCGAGGAGGATATACTCGTACACCGTGTACTCTATAACTGAGAAATTTTAAGAACTTTCGTTGCACACTTTCTGTGCAGGTTTTTTGGGCCGCTGTTTTTGGACACCAAATTAAGGATGCATATTCAAGTTTAGAACGCACTAAAGCAAAATAAAAAGCCTTGAGAGAAAGATCGGTTGTGAACTTCTGACAAAAACCAAAGTGTTTTATGTGCCGCCTTACGAATTGTGTCAATATGATCGTTGAAGGTTAGCTTTGAGTCAAAAATAACACCTAAGTCTTCAACTTTGGAATATCTGGACAAAATTTCACTGTTTATTGTATAATTAAAGTTTATTGGTTTCACTTTTCTAGTATAAGGTATGGCTTTACATTTTTTAATGTTAAGAAATAAATTATTGCGCCTACACCAAACTATAGTAACGTATCTAACTGCTCATGAAGAAATAGACAGTCACATATGTCAGAAATTTTAAAAAAGAGCTTTAGATCATCTGCAAACAAGAGTTTTTGTTAGAGTATTGTTACTAGTCATTACTAACAAAGCGCCACATAGTGGGTCAGATGTTAACTGCGATGTAGCTGGTCGTTGTTAAGTATTGGCTTCTTATGGGCGTTTCCTATCTTTATCTCCCTTATCTCTGATGTTGTGTTCACCGATGAGTCGACTTTTCCATTACTTGCCAGGCCAGTCCGATATTGGTCTCGAGAAAATTTACATAAATTTGTAACAGTTCGCACGCAGTTCCCGCAAAAGTTGAATGTTTGGATGGGAATACTAGGTGAAAATGTAATCGGTCCTTTTTATATTGAGGGTAATTTAAATAGTGTTAAATATTTGGATTTACTCAGACACCATATTGTCCCTGAGATACGGCGATTGGCAGGAGCTCGATTTAACAATATTTGGTTTCAACAAGACGGATGTTCTGTGCATAATCGTGTGATGGTGAAGCACTTTTTAAATGAAACATTTCCCAACAGATTATTATCAGGGAAAGGTACAATTCTGTGGCCAGCTAGATCGCCGGATCTCGCACCTTGTGATTTTTTTTGTGGGGTTATTTTAAGTCTCAGATATACAAATTCAGGGAAGAAAGAGCTAACGACTTAGATGAGCTGAAAGTGAAAATTTCAGAAACCGTTCAACTTATTAGTCCCATTATGTTGGCTGTAGTAAGGCGATCATTTTACGATCGCTTGGGGTACTGTCTTGCCCAAGAAGGAGGTCTATTTGAGCACCTATTACATTAAAAATAAATTCGTGTTCGTTTATTATTGATTGTAATTTATTATTGTCTATTGGATTCCATTTTATAATTTTTATTTTTTTGTAATTTTTTAATCTTAGTTTTGTATTTTTTTTATTCTTAGTTATGTAATTTTTTAAAGTTCGTTTTGTTTTTTTTAATGTTCAATGTTTGTTCTCTATTTTTTAATGTTTGTATTGACTTTTTTTCCATTTTAAAACAAAATCAAAGTTGTCTTTTATAAATTTTAAACTGTTGCTGTTCTTACTATTGTAGAGGGTCTCAAAAAAAAGAGAAAAAAAAGAAATGAAAAAAGAAAATGAAAATTAATAAAATAAAAAAAAATAAAAAAAACGTCGGCGCCGAGATTCGATCCTACCTCTATCCGCGTAGGTAGACTGTAAGTACAATACCTTACCCACTGCGCTACGTCAACAACTATTGAAGTTGTACAAAATTTTGTCTATTATTACAAATTCTGGTTGATGGTTGCAATATTAAATTTCGCTATTTTCATGTCTGAATATGTTATGTTTGTTCTTTATCTTCATTTATTTATAAAATATTCATTAATACATTAATTCATTAAAGATGTAGATGGTGATAAAATTTGTAATTACAAATGTAAATTGAAAAACATTTTAAGTGTGTACCTATTGTAACTTGAAATTGAATTATAGGGTTATGTTTTCACTTCAAAAGTATTATATTATATTTTATTTTTGTGCTTTCAAGTGCACCTATTGTAACTTAACAAATAACCACCGTGTATTATTATCTACACATTATAAACTACATTGCAAGTAGGTATATCATACTTATAAGCCTTTGAATGTATACTCACTTTGAGTTACGTTAGATTTTCCATGGGCATTTAAAGTAAATACCATAAGCTGTCCTTCTATTTGATAATCTGCCTGCACTCTAATTACAGGAGTCAAAAACTCAGCTGTCCAACTGCAGCCTTTGTCTATATCTATCCTAAAATATTGATTTTATTTTTTTATAGATTTTTATAGATACTATTATAGGTTCAAAAGAAGTTTTTCATTTTATCAGTTACCCAAGAAATTTAAGGAAGCGTAAGAACAGTGGATGGTAGAAAATTTTATGAGGATTCTTTAAGGGCTAAACGTTTCAGGTTATACAGGGTGTTTCAAAAAAGTATGTCATAAATTCATCCTCAGATAGATTACCAAAAAATAAGTGGATTTGGCTATATTGACCTATATCAAAAAATGGCTCCCAACAAAGTTACAGGGTGTTAAACTAACATTCAGAAAAACTTTTTTTTTTGTAAAAAGTTTAATGTTGCGATTTTTTCTTCGAAATTTTTGCCAGTGCTGTAGATTTGAAGGCCCAATTTTCTAAGTAGAAAAAAAAATTAAAGCGACCCCTTTAAAAAAAGTTGGGGGTTGGGTACCTTTTAACACCCCCGATTTTTTTTTGACCTAAAGAAACTTGCTTTATCGATCTTAAAATCAAAAAGAACTATGAATTTTTAAAATTTTTTTATAGCGAAATGAACTTGTATCTTTCTTATTTAACGAGCTATTTACAATTTTTTAACTGAATTTCTAGAGCAATTCGTCCGTCCTGGACTTAACATATCAACAAAACTAAGAGTAGGTCAGGAGTTATTGTACAAAAAAACGTATATAAAAATCAGTGGTGTGCCTAGGGCTGTGCTTGAGCCGCCCCTGCAAAAACTACCTCTTTTATTTATATCTAAATGTTAGTTTAACACCCTGTAACTTTGTTGGGAGCCAGTTTTTGATATAAGTAAATATAGCTAAATCCACTTATTTTTTGGTAATCTATCTGAGGATGAATTTTTGACAAACTTTTTTGAAACACCCTGTATACTTATAACTTTTTTGGTGAATAAAAATATCAATTTGTAGAGATATCGTGAGTTGGGGGAATATTTAAAGAAAGTACCAAAAGGATATTAGCCGAAAATTTCTATCCATACAGTATGTTGCAGTTTTTTCATTTTTATTTTTGGGGTATTTGGTGGGTGTTGAAGACATGAGAACTAGATTATTTAATAGAGATAGATATTCGTTTTTGTGGTGAATATGTCCAAGACAAAAACAAGACTTTATACGTCACTTATCGAATGATATTTAGAGGGCGTGACGTTTCAAAGATGTTCGCTTTCGCTGAAAAAATGTGACCAGTGTTACGTGAAATTAATTTTAAATTAATTTCAAATTTATTTTTAACAACTTCTCCATAACCCCTCGTAAATGACCAAAATCAAATCTGAATTGAAAAAGCACGGCTTGCGCACCGATCTCTCATTTTTCTTCTGCATTCACGTTAGTGAGATATGAAACCTGCTGCTGTCGCCCAGATCGTCCTTTTTGGCTTATCGAACTACGTGGTGTGGTAGTGTTGGCCGACAAATAATTAACTATTAGTAGTTTTCCATAATTATCTTGTCTTTTATGTGTTTATTGTGTGTTAACGTTGGTATAATTGTCAGGTAATGTTTCTTTCACCTTAAATTTTAACATTTTGCTGGATTTCGTTGTAAAACCGAAATGATCAGCCATTTGCTTTTTACTTTCCTATCTGTATACAGATATAAGGAAAGTATAGGAATCATGATTTTTTTCGACCTCGAGTTTTCGACGGATTTTTACGTTTTGAGATCCCCAGAATCCTTTTGAATATTTTCGCGATGTTGTCTGTCTGTGTGTGTGTGTGTGTGTGTGTGTGTGTGTGTGTGTGTGTGTGTGTGTGTGTGTGTGTGTGTGTGTGTATGTGTGTGTGTGTGTGTGTGTGTGTGTGTGTGTGTGTGTGTGTGTGTGTGTGTGTGTGTGTGTGTGTGTGCGTGTGCGTGTGCGTGTGGGTGTGTGTGTGTGTGCGTGTGTGGTGTGCGTGTGTGGTGTGCGTGTGTGGTGTGTGTGTGTGTGTGTGTGTGTGTGTGTGTGTGTGTGTGTGTGTGTGTGTGTGGGTGTGGGTGTGGGTGTGGGTGTGGGTGTGGGTGTGGGTGTGGGTGTGGGTGTGGGTGTGGGTGTGGGTGTGGGTGTGGGTGTGGGTGTGGGTGTGGGTGTGGGTGTGGGTGTGGGTGTAGGTGTGGGTGTGGGTGTGGGTGTGGGTGTGGGTGTGGGTGTGGGTGTGAGTGTGGGTGTGGGTGTGGGTGTGGGTGTGGGTGTGGGTGTGGGTGTGGGTGTGGGTGTGGGTGTGGGTGTGGGTGTGGGTGTGGGTGTGGGTGTGGGTGCGGGTGCGGATGCGTGTGCGTGTGCGTGTGCGTGGGCGTGGGCGTGGGCGTGGGCGTGGGCGTGGGCGTGGGCGTGGGCGTGGGCGTGGGCGTGGGCGTGGGCGTGGGCGTGGGCGTGGGCGTGGGCGTGGGCGTGGGCGTGGGCGTGGGCGTGGGCGTGGGCGTGGGTGTGGGTGTGGGTGTGGGTGTGGGTGTGGGTGTGGGTGTGGGTGTGGGTGTGGGTGTGGGTGTGGGTGTGGGTGTGGGTGTGGGTGTGGGTGTGGGTGTGGGTGTGGGTGTGGGTGTGGGTGTGGGTGTGGGTGTGGGTGTGGGTGTGGGTGCGGGTGCGGATGCGTGTGCGTGTGCGTGGGCGTGGGCGTGGGCGTGGGCGTGGGCGTGGGCGTGGGCGTGGGCGTGGGCGTGGGCGTGGGCGTGGGCGTGGGCGTGGGCGTGGGCGTGGGCGTGGGCGTGGGCGTGGGCGTGGGCGTGGGCGTGGGCGTGGGCGTGGGCGTGGGCGTGGGTGTGGGTGTGGGTGTGGGTGTGGGTGTGGGTGTGGGTGTGGGTGTGGGTGTGGGTGTGGGTGTGGGTGTGGGTGTGGGTGTGGGTGTGGGTGTGGGTGTGGGTGTGGGTGTGGGTGTGGGTGTGGGTGTGGGTGTGGGTGTGGGTGTGGGTGTGGGTGTGGGTGTGGGTGTGGGTGTGGGTGTGGGTGTGGGTGTGGGTGTGGGTGTGGGTGTGGGTGTGGGTGTGGGTGTGGGTGTGGGTGTGGGTGTGGGTGTGGGTGTGGGTGTGGGTGTGGGTGTGGGTGTGGGTGTGGGTGTGGGTGTGGGTGTGGGTGTGGGTGTGGGTGTGGGTGTGGGTGTGGGTGTGGGTGTGGGTGTGGGTGTGGGTGTGGGTGTGGGTGTGGGTGTGGGTGTGTGTGTGTGTGTGTGGGTGTGTGTGTGTGGGTGTGTGTGTGTGGGTGTGTGTGTGTGTGTGTGTGTGGGTGTGTGTGTGGGTGTGTCGCATAACACATGAACCGATATACAGAAAAACACCAAATTTTAAACTTAAGCTTTGTTGCAACGTCCAATGAACTGATTAGATTTTCAGCAGAGTCGGAACATCTGGGGGGGTACTTTATTAGTGATCATTATTATATTATAAAAAAACTCAAAAACGGATAAAGAAAAAACATTAAATTTTAAACTTAAGTTTTATTTCGGCCTGACGTTAAATGATTAGATTTTGGACAAAGTCGGAACATTTGGGGGGGGGGGGGTACTTTATGGGAGGCCGTTTTTATATTTTATGGAATATATCTGTTATTTATGTTTGGAGAAAAAAATTGTTCAAATAAAAGTTATTTCTAATATTATTATCTATAATTTTTGTTTTATGTCAAAATTTCCTGAAATGGTCCGTATTCGAAAAATTTTACAAAATGTGCAAAATTCTGATTTTTATGAAAATTGTTGAACTAAAAGTTGCGATATCGATCCCTATAATTTTTGTTTACATATGATTTTTCTAAAATGGACCGTAATGGAAAAATTGGAGGAAGAGTGCTAAATTTAAATTTTTCAGAATTTTCATTTTCAATGAATATCTATAGAAAAATGTTTCGAGGTAGATGTATGTGGAAAATGTATATATTTAGTTTATCCTCTAAATATTTATAGAGGTGCTGCAATAGGTTGTACAAAATAACCGAAAAAAGCCTCTAATAACTAGATAGGAAAGTCATGTGTTGGACACATCAGATTTTTAGTTTATAGTATAGTTAGTATGAATGAAGAGCGAATGAATTTAGAGTAGTTCTGAAAATTTGTTTATTCATTTATTTGGATATTCAGGGTATAAAGCAAGATAAGTCATAATTTTTTATTTTTTATTGATTATTGACAAAATAAATGTAAAATAAAATTAAATTAAATTGAAAAAGTAATATTATAATTTGAAACACCCCTGAGATAAAAAATATATATATATATATATATACTTTAATTAAAATAAAAATAAAATTGGAATATGTGTGATATCATAACAATATATTTGGCTAATTAGATTTTAATTTTGAGGAAGAAATATTTATTTATTTTTGCCTTATTTCCGGTAACAATTTTTTTTTATTTTGTTGGCCTGTGTTATGAATGATTAATCAGCGCAGAAATAGGTATTATTGAATCCTTTCAAAATTCTTGAATGTTATTTTGACTTAAATATTGAGGTTAAATAATTTGAGGTTAAAATTGTTTGTTTTTGAGTCTTATTGTATTGCCATAAATTTTTAAAAGACATGTGGCCGTAAATAATATATTATACACCATATGTTTCTGATATAATATAACCAAATAATAATACCATGCGTATGTGAATCCATGAAAATATAGTATAGCACGTAGAATTGACGTTCTGCGGATATTTATTTCTTGACGTCCCGAGGATTTACTAAACTGGACATACTTAAAACGTCCATAATTGGACGATAAATAGACATGTAATGGACGTCCTTAGGACGTCCTGTGCTATCTGGGATAATGTTATTTTATTTTATTTATTTACGGAAAATCTCCTTTTACAAAATAATTATTATCAGTAGATATTTTAAACCTAACCTAAAGTATCACACAAAAAAGAAAAAAAACTTAAATATCTTAAATATCACAAAAACTTAGAGCTAAAGCTAACTCGATAAGTACTCTCTCAGCTGATTTTTAAACCTAAACCGACTAACTCCCAAAAGAACAGCGTGTCTATTAATTTCATTTCCTTGCCTTTGAAATATGGTTAAAGGACTGTTGAGTCCGTAGTTCGTATGATGGAAGCTAATTGAAAATAATGGTTTCTCTCTAATATTTATGTTGTTTAATCTAAAGTTTATTAGCTCCAACATATCCGGACTAGCTATATTCCCTTCCAGGGGGTTACAAAGAAATAAAAGATCATTATTAATTAACGTTTTTTCAACTGACAATAAGAAAGATAAGGCATATGTAACCTTCACTGACAAGTTCTTAGAAACCTATTTTGAACTGCTTCTAAATTTAAAATATTAATCCGTTAATGAGGTGACCAGACTGGTGAAGCATATTAGAGGATGCTGCGCATTAGTGTTAAGTAAAGGGTTCTGAATGTAGGCACTGAGAATTCCCTAGAATTCCTGGTCACAAATCCCAATGTTTTCAGAGCTCTACTAATGATGGATCTCATGTGTGGGACAAATATCAAAGAACTATCGAAGATCACACCTAGATCCTTGATTTCACTAACTTTCTCCAAAACAGTAGTATTGATATTATAAAGAAAATTTATAGGGTTTTTTGAACTTGTGAAGGTGATTGAAAAACATTTACGTGGATTTAGAGACATGGCATTATTTAAAGCCCAATTAATAAAATAGTTTAAATCATCCTGTAACTTCAAACAGTCAGGTAAGTTTAAGATTTCCATGAATAATTTCAGGTCATCGGCGAATAGTAGGAACTTACAATAATTAAATCCTGAAGCCACATCGTTAATAAATATATTAAATAGTAATGGTCCCAAATGAAATCAATGGGGGACACCTGAACTTACATTTATTGGAATCGAAGTAACACTTTTAACTTTGACATATTGAACCCTGGATTGCAGGTAACTTTCTAACCATTTCACTAAGTAGTTTGGAAACCCGAATTTCACTAATTTCCTTAAAAGCAAATCATGGTTCACCGTGTCAAATGTCTTCGAGAAGTCAGTGTAAATTGAGTCAACCTGACACTCCCTGTCGAAGGCAGAAATGATATAACGTTCGTAGAGCAGTAAATTTGTATTAGTAGACTTACCTCCTATAAACTCATGCTGTTGTTCAATCAAAATGTTTTTGCAATGCCATGACAAAGGTTTATATAACAATAATTCTAATAATTTAGGTATTGCAGAAATTAAAACTACAGGGCGATAGTTAACTATGTCATCTTTCTGACCATTTTTAAATATGGAGGTAATGAAACTATCACGCCATTTTGCAGGAAACGGTTGTAATTTCAAAGAGGAATTAAATAAAAACTGTAGTGGTTTGGAAAGAGTGAATTTACATTTTTTCAAAAAATAAGCAGGGATTCCATTTGGACCATTACTCAATTTATTTTTTAGGGAGTTAATACCATCATAAACATCAAGGAAAACTGTATAAAGGGAATATTAGGCTGGTTAAAAGCATTATTGGCTCATCTACAATATCTTTCTTATAAACACTCTGGGGAAATGTGTAGCAAACAAATTACTGATCCCATTATCAGCAATTGTACCATTATAATACATTCTATTGGGAATACCATGGTCTTGTTCCAGAAGTATTATTTATTTTCACAAACCTTCAGATCTATACCAGAAATATAATTTTCATAATTTAGTTAAATTTTTACATTGAGACCGAAGGTTAGAAAAATTTAAGTAATCAACAGCTGAGCGAGTACTTTTGAATACAGCATGAGCTGCCTTCTTGCGAGAAATTAACTTTTTAAGTTCAGCTGAAAACCATCTAGGGTATATTGTTAGTTTATATCTCCTAACAGGTACAAATAAAGCTAATGCCAATTTTAAAATCTGATAAAAAATTTCAACACTAACATTATCATTATCGACTAAAATACCCTCCCAATTAATTGGAGCAAAATAATTATTTAAAGCTACATAATCCGCTTCTTGCAACATGGTGAAAGTTATTAGGCAATAAGGTGTTTACAGCTGTCTCGATAGTAACCGAATTCCTAGCCTCATTGTTACAAAAATATAAGTCGAGGAATATCCCGTGCTGATTTGGAATTCCATTGGCCTGACTCAAATTCAAGTAGGAAAAACTCGAATAATTCCATGTAGCACGTGGAAGATTATATTCCCAAAAAAGGTATAGCTTATTGTTAAGGTTTAACATGTTTAACATTATGCGTAAAGTAGATTTTTACACTTGCTGCGAATACAAAAAATGTCACTTTATATGTCAAAATTGAAAAAAAAAATTAAAAGGGTTATAAATTTCTAAACTTACTCCAAATGCTCTATTTCGAACGTAGTCATTCCATAAACGTATACATTATTAAATGTAATATGAATAGCCACTGTTTTCCCTGATGCTGGTGGTTTGATTTCTAATTTTTCAATGAAATATGGATCCAACACAGGAACTCCCATTTCTTTGTTACCTGAAAGCAAAATTCTTTATTATAAAAAGACATACAGAAAGACCAATTTTTTTCTTGAATATCACTAGAAAAAAGAAAAAATTAACGCGTACTTTTTTTGGTAAATTGATTTTATTTAAAATATCTACTTTTTATTATTTATAAATTGATATCTTGTATTTTTTTTTTTAATATAATTGAACAAACAAAAATAAGTATAAAAACTCACCTGATTTAAACGCAAGTATTCCACCTCTCATATTTTTAGCAACACACTGTGTAAAATCCGGTTGAGATCTATGACAAAGTGAAATGCCTTCGGCTGAAAAAAAAAGAAATTAGAATAGTAAACGGCACTTTTCTAGTGATGAAGCAGCAATTTTACTATTAGTATTGTCACGAGCCTATTGTCGTGATTGAGTCACTTTAAATAATGACTCTATGTGCTACCTGACTTGGGGAAATAAAAGATTACGAGAACAATTAACAATTTATTTATCAGTAATAGTAATCAATAAACAATATACAATAAGGGCCTTACCATGGGCTAAATATCTAAAGGCGACGAGGGCACGTCACGTCACTTCTGCTAATGAGATGCAAGATGATGATGAGACTCAAACTAAGAGTCTAGGGTGAGACTCCGACCAAGAACGCCATTATTGTTGACCTAGCCGATCTTTATATTAATCGGTTAAGGTCAGTACGTGTCTAGTAGGGTGTTTTTTTTTTCGACTATTTTTTTATTTTCGCTCCCGTCCTGAAATTTTGTTGAAAATGCCCCAAAAAAAATTCCCTGAAAGTTTTAGCCCTTAATATTAATATTGAGTCCTCGACCAAGGCGTGCAAAGATTTTCCTTTTAAAATACACGTAAAATTAGGGTAACGGGTAACTAAATCGATTTTTTCATGAAATTCACGTTATTTCGACCTATGTCATAATTGAGAAGAGTTACAGAAAAAATGATAATGACAAAGTTGTAGAATATTTAATTTACTACAAAAAATGTTCTGAGAACCAAATCGCTAAAATCAATATTTGTCGAGATTCGAGATGTTAAACCTTGAATTATTAATTTTTGCCGATTATTGACTGAACCTTTTTGAAATTTTGTTTTTTTTTGTATTATGATACATTTAAAATGTTAAAAGTGGTTAACGATAACTGCAGAAAGGGGAGTAGCACTAGCCTAAAGTTTTAATGAAGCACTAACTCATAACGAAGTTGAGAGATAAAAATCTTTTCAAACTGTTCAGCATCATCCCTCTCAATACACATCGTGTAAAAAATCACAATATATTAACAATGAATCAATGTAACGATTAATTTTTCTACTTTCAATAATAATTTATTTGTATTGTTGTTTCTATTTTCATAGATAATTTATTGTTGATAATATGATTCAAACTATTATAATTTAATAAATGTTAGTAATATATGAATTATATAAAAGTAATTGTATTTGTATGTTTTATGCAGGAACCAGTAAATCCTTTATTTGTTAAAGATTCTTCAAATATGAGCTTTAACAATGTAAGATATTAATCATATTCTAGTATTCTAACTTTTAAAATATATTTAACCAAAAGTTGTGATAATACAAAAAAAAACATGATTTCAAAAAGTTTTAGTCAATAATCGGCAAAAATTATACAGTAAAATTAATTCAAGGCTTAATATCTCGAATCTCGACAAATATTGATCTTAGCGATTTAGTTTCCAAGACATTTTTTGTAGTAAATGAAATATCCTACAACTTTGTCATTCACATTTTTTCTGTAACTCTTCTCAATTATGATATAGGGTCGAAATAACGTGAATTTCATGAAAAAATTCGATTTAGTGACCCGTACTACCTCCCCGATGTGAGTTACGACATCGCCGCAATGAATACTTTTGTAGAGCGTTCAATTTGGAGAAATACATGTCTATGGTCGAAATCATGGGCGGATTTAAGGGGGGCACGGGGCACGTGCCCCCCCAGACAGTATTTTTGTGTACTGTGGAGATTCTAGCACAGTACATACTTAGAAGCAAATCAAATTATCAGAGTTGTTAACATATATGTGAGCACCAACAGGACTTCACCGTTTTTGCATACTTGACATTGTTAAATTTGTTATTGTTAGTTATAGATATTCTATCAATGTCGCCGTCTCGGCAGAAATATAAAGTAGAGTGTGTAGTCATATTTTAATTATTATATTGTCCGCTAGTGTAGAGATCATGTCGTTGGGGCACATTATTTTATTTTGGTGAAAATAGTGAGTTTTATTTTCGTACGAATTCATCACATATAAGTATATGAATTAAATAACAGAATGAACATGAGTGAAAATCTCGTCTATTTCTGGCTGAAATTGCGAATTTTTTTCGTCGCATCCCTTTCACACACTTGCAAATGAAAGATGATAATCAGCGTTTGCGAGAGCGTTACGGTCGGGGCAAAACGTGGGTCGGGGTGGGGCGGGACGTGAGCGCGGGACAGTGTTGCCAGTCTAGTACAATTGTACCAGATCTAGTACATTATTTAAGAATCTGGTATCCTAGTACACTCGAAGCAAAATCTAGTACTTTTACTTTTTTTCAGCCCGTTTCCATTTGACGGGTAAAATAATGTAAGGTTGGGTTCTTCTTTATTTGTGTCCTTTTTCGAAAAAAGCTTTTTTTTTCTCTTCTGAACCAAACATCATAATCCGAAGAATATGGTACAATTTATAGAATCTGTTTCGTTTTTATTGAATCTGGTACATTTCTCAGACAAATCTGGTACATAACAAAAATAAATTCTGGCAACACTGGTCTCTACTACATTCAAAATGGCTCTATTTTTTTTTGTAAACACTCTTTCAATTTAAGTGGAAATAATTAAATAATAAACTCACCTAATGTATCTGTTATTCCATTTAAAAACAGCGACACCATGGGCCAAACACATTACATACTAAATACATTGTTAAATTTTTTTTAACAATAAACAATCCGAACTATAGAACAAAAAACCGATATTAGCGCACGTGCACTTCCGATATATTTTTCGTTTGAAGGTACGAGAGGTACTGATTAATTTTTAATACAGTTTAAAATATAAAAACTCTTTACATAATTATATTTATGATTCACCAATGGTGGCTCATTCTGAAAGATATCGCAAAAAAAAAACATACTGATTGTCCCAAATTAAAATTCTACTTTATATAAAATTCGAGGTCGATGAAGTTGGCACCCCCAATGATATTTTTGCAAAAAGAAAACTATTGCACCAAAATGCACCATTGCATAATTAGTCGTGTAAGTATCCGTATCCAGTACTCGGATATTTTTTTCCTATATCCGACGCAACTTTGCTTAAGCTAAAATTCTGGATCTTATATTGTTTTTTCCGGCTTACCCACATTTTACAATATAGTTGAAAAACCTGAACGTGAAATCATTCAAAAAAAATATTCGATTTTAAAATCTTATATTTTTTAAATGGCACCTATAGATGACCATTCTTGTCTTTAAATGGAAAATTTAATTTGGGACAATCAGTATATGTTTTTTTTTTCGATATCGTCCAGAATGAGCCACCGTTGGTGAATCATTAATATCATTATGTAAAGGGTTTCTATATTTAAAGTGTATCAAAAATGAATCAGTACTTCTCGCATCTTTTGTTAGCCCTTTTCTTCTCATTAAACCCTTGGTTAAAGACAGGGAGGGCTAACAGTGTAGGTTCTTTACTTTTACTTAAATTACCAGGCTAATTCATAGGTAACAATCAAATAAACAAATTCGTACTGAGAAGAGTTCCTTTCAGAAATATATTTCAATTAAACAAAGTATCTGTAGTATTCTGTAGTTATGTTGCACAATATCAAGAATACTAAATAAATTGTATAAAATTCAAGTAAGCTACCTTATATCGATTACCCATGGTTAGTACTAACTGTGGTTTACAGTAATTAATATTGCATATAAATATTGATAAAATATTAAACTATAATTGTGTACAGTATGATTAGGATGATTTCTTTTTTTTTTACTTCTCCAGTTGATTCCTTTAATTGGTTTACTGGGTACCACCGACAGGATGCTTGATAAACTAAACTAATCTTACTTGTTATGAAGAAGAACACTCTTCAGGTTTTCTGGATGGCTCTAAATTGAACTGGTAAGTAACTTTACCTTCTTAATCTGATTCAGCAATTTCAGGTACTTAAGCAGCCTATGAAGTGCATTATATATAACTTTACCGGAACCAGGAAGCGAGTAGGGGTATTCTAATAGCTACTCTTTAGCTATCTATTTAGCTCCAAACAGCGGGAGATATAGCTTAGATCGCTAGGTATGCAAAAGCTGAGGGAGTTAGTCTAAAAAGGCCTAAAATATAATTAGGTACAGTTAGCTTGGGTAAAAAGCAGTTATACTATATATTGCTAATGCAGTTATTTTTAACATGTGTTTCTGTCTATAACTTACCACTGTTGGAGTTGGGTCTCATAAGTTTGTTTTAAAATTAATTAGGAAATGTAGTCCACAAAAGTGTGTATATATCTTCTTAGATATATAAATAACTAATCCTAATAATAATGTATTCTTTTCAGGCTAATTAAATCCGGAAAATACGAAATTGCACCACGTGCACGTCTCTAGGTTAGCCAGGAAAAGAAGCGGGAACCAGAGAGAGAGAAAATGAGAGAGAGATAAACTCTCTGGAGAGATTAGCGATTAAGCAGCCACTTAAGTCAAGGGCTTAGCAGCATTAAAGGCAGTACTGGTAAAAGAAGAACCAAATAGAAGAAGAATACTTAAGTGATCTGTGCCCTATACATTTGAACTATTTATGTAAATACTAAACATAACCATACTTGGAATGTTTTTATTTGTTTTTATTATTATTAAATGACGTCTGGGATTAAACTATTTTATTTGTTTTAAATGAACTGCTAAGAAAATTAATTTGGATTATTCATCACATCTTAATAGTCGTAAGAATATTTGTTTCTTTAAAAATTTCGTCTTTTACTACAAATCGTTATTTTAATAAAATAATAAACGAAAAATATATTTCGGAAGTGCGCGTGCGGTTTATTTATTATTAATAACATTCATATACAATGTATTTAGTGTGTAATGTGTTTGCCAATGGTGCCGGATAAATACATTAGGTAAGTATTATTATTATTAAATTGTTTTCACTTAAATCCAAATAAAGTGGAATTTTGTCCAAAGGCAATCCCCTTTTTTTTTAAAACCATGTGTTTTTCACTGGCTCGAAATTCGGGCCGAACGACGAACATAAAAGTTGGTCGTCTCTCAGCCAGTGTTGCCAATCTAGTATAATTGTACTAGATCTAAATTATTTAAGAAATTGGTACTCTAGTACACTAAAGCAAAATCTAGTAATTTTTCTTTTTTAGCCTGTGTCCATTTGGGCGACGGATAAAATATATTGTTGGGTTCCTTGTTTGTGTTCGTTCTCGATAAAAGCTTTATTTTTGCTCTTCAATGAACCAAACCATTACAATTCGAGAAATAGGGTACAATTCATAGAATATGGTATATTTTTATGGAATCTGGTACATTTTTCAGACAAATCTGGTACATAACAAAAATATATTCTGAAAACACTGGCGCGGGAGTCTCAGCCTCAGCCTCAGTGCATTGTGAGTCAGGTCCAGGTCGCGACAGGTCATAGCCGGCCGAGTTTTTCATGCGCTCGTGATAATTACATAAACTAAAATAAACTTCTCTTTGTAGAGCCTACTTAGTTCAGTGTAGTTTTAGCGAATAATATTACTGTATATAATATAATGAGTGATAAAGACAGAAAAAGACAAAAGAGCATAAGTGCGTTTTTCTTTACCAAAAAACCGACGATGCAGTTTCAGATACAGGGAAAGGGATTGAATTTAGTGGTATCCCATGTGCATCCACGCATGCGGCAACTACATCAATGCCAACAAATCCATCAGCAGCATCAGCCTCTACTAGGTACATGTTGCAGCAACGAGACATAGGTGAGTATTGCAATGTTTGTGTATTTCAATATTTTCGGGTAACTGCGAATTGCAAACGTCTATTCTATGTGCAGCTTATTCTTCGTTCGCCGCAGCTTCATATATTTACCTACAAGTTATACATACACACCTTGCTCCTGTGTTAAGCCTCGGTCACACGTAGCGAATACTCGTCACGAGTGAATTCACGCACGAGCGCGGTCGACCCATGGTTGTGTTATGGTTAGATTAGACGTCGTGTAGGACAGATCGCGTCCCTGAAGCCGCATAAGCATGGCATGCTATCTTTTATTGAATACAGTCACCCCAACAGTGCGTGCTTTGCATAGATAAAACCATCATTAATTAAATAGCTATTACTGGGCTACGGCTAGGCTATTTCAGAGTCTTATAAATAAATTATAACAATCGCACTTCTATATTTAGATATCCAACAGTTAATTATTTATTTTTATTTTCAGGTACACTACTAATCAACCAGCAAGACGGGTTAGTTCTTACAGACGGAGAAAGGTACCAGTGGTTGAAATATACTTGGCAACCTACAACAGACTTTAAGTTTCCACTGGTGCGTGAGGGAAAAAAGAACAGGTCTTTTCAAATAAGCTGGTTAAAGAAACATGAATGGCTAGCATACAGTAAAATTGCTGGTGGCGGATTGTGTAAAATGTGCATTCTTTTTGGTCGACGTGAAGCGGGTACAAATGATGTGAAGCTGGGAAAATTGGTGTCGCAACCACTGACAAGATATAAAAAAGCGATCGAAACGATCACACACCACGAGAGCACGAATTACCACCAAGCGAACGTGGTAGCATCTCAAAATTTTTTGATGGTAATGGAGGGAAAATCAAAAGATGTTGTTGTCCAAATGAGATTACAGGAAATGAAAACTGTTGAAGAGAATCGCAAAAAACTTATACCCATTATAAAAACAATAATATTATGTGGAAGGCAAAACATACCGTTCAGAGGTCACAGGGATGACGGTAGCTTAGAATCGGAAAGTTCTTGCGGACACGGAGAAGGAAACTTCAGAGCGTTGTTAAAGTTCCGAATCGATGCTGGAGATGAGATACTGCATGAACACGTTAAAACTTGCGCTAAAAACGCTTCCTACATTAGCAAGACGACACAAAATGATTTAATTGAATGCTGTGGGGAATTAATCAGAAACAAAATAGTGGACAAAATTAAAAAGTCTAAATTTTTTACCATTATAGCTGATGAGACCACAAATGTTTCTGTTTTTGAGCAACTAACCATTTGTATTCGCTATTTCGATGTAGATACAAAGGAAATACAAGAAGACTTTCTGATGTTTGTCGAAGTTGTTAAACTTACTGGTGAAGACATTGCTCACCATATTTTGAAGGCGTTAGAAAGCCTTAACCTGGACATTACATTGTGCCGTGGAGGAGCCAACATGAGTGGTAAAATAAAAGGTGTTCAGGCACGCATATCCAGCATTCAGCCTTTAGCCTTTTTTACCCACTGTGCAAGTCACCGACTTAACTTAGCTATTAGTACAGCCTGCACCATATCCAGCATAAGAAATGCCGTAGGGGTTATCTCAAGTGTAGCAAATTTCTTTCGTGACTCAGCTCAACGAATACATCTTCTCAGAGAAGAAATTCAAGCTCATCTACCAAAGGAAAAACAGAATATATTAAAAAAAAATGTGTGAGACCAGATGGGTGGAAAAGCATGAAGCGGTTTTGACATTTTTGGATGTCTTGCCTTGTCTTCCTGAAATATTACAAAAAATGGCTGATCAAGATCAAGGAAACAGAAGGAGTGCTACACCTCCATTTTCGTTGCTCCAATCTATAATGTCATCGGAATTTATCATAAGCCTGGTAATCCTCTCTGATATTTTAGGAATCACGCTGCCCTTATCCCGATCATTACAAGCCATTGAAATTGATGTGCTTTCTGCAGTTCAGCTTATTAATACGACCACAGCAAGTATAAAGAGACAACGTGAAACTAGCACGGACACATTCAAAAAACTTTTCAATCAGGCTGTCATGGCAAATGAAATTGGTGCAGACATTACGGTCCGCAGAATCGCCGGCCGCCAAACAAATCGGCCGAACGTTCAGACTCAGTCAGTTGAAGAATATTACCGACTTTCAGTATATATTCCTTTTCTAGATTATATATTAAGTGAAATGTCATCCAGGTTCCCTAGCGCTCCAATGCAAACAATAGGACAGTTGCAAAAGTTGCTGTCCCATAACTTCAGCGACGGAGATATAGAGGATATTTTGCAAGGCGCTGAAGTATATAAAGAAGATCTTCCTTGTTTCTTAGCTTTGAAGGGAGAGCTAAAAATTTGGCAACAGATGAAAGAAAATATCCCAGCATCTCCAGTAGATGCCTACAAAAGAGCAACGGTGCTGCCAAATATTAGAACTCTTTGTCAATTGCTGTGCACTTTTTCAGTGACTACTAGCACTGCCGAGCGGTCTTTCTGCACCTTACGTCGATTAAAGTCATACCTTCGCAACAGGATGACAGAAGAGCGTTTAAATGGATTGGCTTTAATGCATATTCATCAAGACATTGCTGCAAAAATGTACGCTAATGAAGTGTTGGACATCTTTAGCAGGAAACATAAAAGAAAACTGTCTTTATTGAACATTTAATTTTTTCATTGTTTTGACACTTTCATAAACCTTCCTATACATACTTGAACTTGTAGAAATAAACTTGAAAGAATGACACTAGTTATTGTTTATTTTTTGGCCCGTCCGCCCCTTGTGCCCCTCCCAGAAAAAAATTCTGGATCCGCCCTTGGTCGAAATAATACCATGAAATGCCGCTAAGCTATAGAAATCCGAAGAAAAAAACCCTAATTTTACGTGTATTTTAAATGGAAAATCTTTGCACGCCTTGGTCGAGGACTTAATATTAATGTTATGTGGTGCATTGAATTAGTAATTAAATTTGGTTTCAAATAAGTTGTTACACTTTATAATACGTACCTTTTTTTATCCCGATAGAGTACGATACAATTAAAAGTATCGCAATGAACAGTAATATTTCAAAATTCCCCATAAAATTACCTTTTTAATGATGTCCCATACATGGTGCATTACCTATTTAAAATTAAGGTGTTGGAGAAGTGCAAGGGAGGGAGTTGACACATGACAGATATCTGTATTGTAAAAATGTTTTTAATTTGGAATAAAAATCGACTTGTTTTAGCATTTTCTTAAAATCCAATGATTAATGCTGAAAAAAGGGATGAAACTGTTTTGAGTGACCCACTCTGTATATCAAAAATAACTAGATTTATTGATTTAGTTTATAAAACAAAATCTGCTTAAAAATGCATTTTTTACAAGATGCGCTCTATGAGAAAGATCCTCCCATCAAAAAAAAATTGTTGAGTGGAGGGCCATCTACATATTGACCTATTTAAAATCAATTTATATCTAAAACTGAAGCTCTTTTAGTGCTCTGTGAACTGGCTTTTACAGAATTAAAATATATCTATTACTCATTAAAATATCCGGCCTGGGAGTTTTTATTGGTACAACCTGTATATATAGATAAATCTATCGAGCCACGTTTTTAATTTCTCATTTTAATCTAGTGAGTAATATCTAGTTAAAAAGTGTTTACTTTTGATACTTATCCCACTGAAGGTCTCTGTCTTTTATTATTATTATTATCACAGTCTTGTTAGTCTTAAAGAACTATTATATTTCCAATGAACATAAGAAAAATAAATATATACTTACGTAATTTATAACCCAAACCAATTGAAATGCAAAATAAAAAATAGTAGCGCTTCATTTCAAAAAATCAAGATACTGAAATTTTATTCGCACATAATTTTTCATCTGTGTGAAAACCTCAAGGAGAACTCGATTGTTCTAATTACACTTGTTTAATCAAACATGGAAGCTAACGATGAAAAACATAATTTTACTCAACTTAAAGCTATTATTAATTAAACATTAACGAGAACAAACTTCATTAGTTAAATAATGACAATATTTTTTTATTAAATTCTTCAATTAAAAGCACGTGTCTTTCATCGGAAAAGTTCTAAACTTATAATCGAATTAAATTACGGGTTTTGAGCTTACATTAAATTGTAATTAGATGAATCAAAATGGATTCTATGTATTTTGAGGTGATCTTTTCGAAAAAAGGCAAAACAAAATGTAGCAGTTTTTCGAAAGTGCCGAAATTTTGGATTTTGTCAATTTTTCAATTTTGCGCAGGCGCATGTCGGAAATAAATCAATATTTTTAAAACGCAGTTTACTTATGTTGGAGATGCTATTTATGTAAATTAAAAATAGAATTGGACCCAAACTATTTGAATTTTTTTAATTCCACTTACAAAGCTTACTCTTAAATGTGAAATCTTATGTGTGTGTGAATTTCACCGACATCGGACCATAATTGGCTAAGATATCAAACAATTAAATAATTTTTTTTTCGAAAGTTTGAAGTGGCACAAAAATGCCAAAAATGCACCCAATGGCTCAAAACTTTTTTTTTGAGTACTCTATTGTGTCTAGAATACGATTACATTACGGAAAATTCTGCAAATATATTTTATCTATTTTTTTGACCACTGTTCATTGAGTGACGACCAAAAAACACGGTTTTTGAGAAAAGTTGCCTAAAATTGACAATTTTTAGTTTTTTTTGTCTGAAATTTCATGTCTTCTAAATGTGTATACAAAGTTTAAAATGTGTATGTTTCTTCTAAGTTGTAGAATTCTCCCGACAAAAGTCTCATTACACGCGCTCCGCGGGATCCAAAACTCGTGTATAGACTACATTACTGTAATTTGATTTTTTTGCGATTTCCAGTTTTAAATTTCTTGCATATCTAAATTTATTAGGCTTAAAATTTATTAAATTGTATTTTACTGACTTGTTATAAGACGTTTCTTGAGTTTTGTGCAAAATATAGAATTACCAGATATTAGCGAACAAAAAGCAAGCTTATCACCAAGTTGGAACTTACACTCAGGCTTAGGATTAATTTCCTAACATTTTTAAAGTATACCTTTTTGTGTATTTTTTTGTGCTCTTTTCGATGGCGAAGTTACTTTTTTCAAATATATTTATTTTGTTAGATGTTTTCGGAAAACCCGGAAAAAATCACATGGGAAAAAAATTTAAAAAAAACTACGCCTCTGGTTTCCTGCGAATTCCCGAAAAATTATGTCAGATTTCGCCGCGGGACTTATTTTATTTGAGAGCCAACAAAAAAATACGCAACTTCTCTCGTGGGCACATAATATGTCTAACATTTATAATTTTGCCACAAATTCATCGCAAATTTCATGTCCATGGTTCTGATCAAAAAAACGAAGAAACGACTTTTTGGTAAAAGCACTTCTGGCGGCGAGAAATTCGCCATTAAAACTACCTGTGCAATGAATTTCCGAACTATTTTTGCCTCCTCTTTCGAATGGTGCATTTTCACTATCGGAATGATACTTGCCCAGATAATTAGCATTGTTACAATTGAAAATTCCGGAAAACTCGGTTTTTCCTAATTAAAAAAAAATTGAAAAGCTGCGACATCTTTTTATTCTTTTTTTCGGAAAGATCACATCAAAATACACAAGGTCCTTTTTGTTTCATCGAATTACAAATTAATGTAAGCTCGAAGGGGCTTTTTTTCGTTATTTAATTGGACTATTTGGCATGTAAGTATTTATATACATGCTTAATTTTTTTTTTTTTTTTTTTAATAAACATTGATATATTAAGGATTTACAAGTTATTATAATCAAAACGATAACAATAAAACCAAAAATAAAGTTTTTCTTTGATGATTGCTCTACACCTGGGGATCGATTCTCGACTTGTAGGAACCTTTTCCTATAGGAATTTGTGACACTTTCTTATATGTAGGAAAATGTCATAAATTTTCGATGTACATAAAAATGTCAAAAATTCCTATAGGAAAATATTCCTACAAGTCGAGAATCGACCCCCAGGGGGCTCCAAGCTAAGGTCAACTGTAAGAATATCCAAGAAAACAAATGAAGAGTACACGGGAAAAAAGATGAGGGTCCATTTTCTGCCGAAATAAGACTAACACTAAATTCGTATAATATATCGGCTATAGAATATTAACTACCGGCTAAAAAGATGGTAGTACACCGATAAACACGATTTAAAATTTATAATGGTGGGCAAAAGAGAAGAGGGTACTAGAGCAAGAAAGATGATAGTGCTTCTTTTTTAATATTTTTTTGTTCTAATAAGATTTAATTCTGCAGTCAACAAAATGTTGCTTACCGAAGAAATATGTAAGAGGCCAGACGTGTTTTTATGTCTCAAATTTATAACAGATAAAAAGAAACAGAAATTTGAGGCCTCCACTTCCTCGTTGTGACATGTCATTTGTCAACTTTATACTCGGTAAACACTGCTAATACATAAAAATTGTATACAGCGCATGATTTGTACCGAAAATTGTTTTCGAGCTTGTTGGAACAAACCTATAAACAACATCTGACAACATAATCATATGTGCATTGTCAATTATCATTATCCGTTGTCTATTAAAAACAAAGGCCAAATACGTCATTGATTCATTCCTAGAAAAGAAGAAATTTAAGATTCAATATAAAAGTTGAACCTGTCAATTTGTAATCATAAATATTAATGCTAATAATAATCATAAATCGAGTATAAATTCCCCTATTACATTATGAAGGTTCAACTTATTCCATAATCATAACAATAATGCAAATACTAATATAAGGGACCCTATAACGTATTTTTTAACCCCACATCTTCGTTAAAAGGGTTCAAAGTAATGAGTTGTACTAATTTATTTTGAGAAATACTCGTATGCCCTGCGGTGCGCACATTTGGAAGCATCTTATATACAGGGTGTTAAAAAAAAGTGTCACAAAATGAAATGAAAATAAGCAGAAAAGTCTTAATAAATATATGACCGCAAATTAACGGTTTCGGAGATACGGACCATTTTGTGTTTATAACAATTTTTTATTATTATAAAAAAACAATGATATTTATAAACAATCAATAACAACATAGAGTTAAATGAAGGGATGTGGCGATTAGGGAAAGCGTCGATATACTGACGTAGCGCTTCCCTCGCATTGCCATTTGCACGACCGTACATAAAATGCATGTCAGCTAATTCAATATTAGTGTAAACAGGCATAACGAAAATTTTTAAAATTATTCACCCACAACAAAATAATAACTGCAAATAGTATCTATGAAAAAACATCGGTAGACTCCGATAAGAAAAGCAAGTTTTTGAGAATGAAAAAAGATAATCAAAAAATGATACAAAACACAAAACACTCCGTATCTCTGAAACCATTCATTTGCGGACATATGTTTATTAAGACTTTTCTGCATATTTTGGCCCATACTACCCCCCGTTTTATTTTGTGACACTTTTTTTTAACACCCTGTATTTATCGGCATTATTTTTAACCAAACCTTTCGTGTACATACAAAATATCAACAAATATGTTTCTCATAATAAAGTGAAAACCGACAACCGGGGGTTGATAATTAATTTAAATAATTCTTTGATATTACATATTATATTCTTCGAATTCAAATTACAACCCAGCATATCCCGACTCGTAGGCGCCGTTTAATTACTTCTGGGAAAAGAAATCGACGCGTAAGCTGTAACGGCCACTAGCTAAAGGACCAGATGTAAGCCGATAGGGCTATATTGAAGAATTAATACAGGGCTTTATAGTCTTTATACACCGAAATCACAATCGTTCTCTTTCTGATACATTTGCATATATGGGAAATTTAAGTATAAATACCCAGGTTTTTGTGGGCTGGGGGACATTAGCTTTTTCTTTTCACCGAGTCAAATTAACAAAAAACGCAAATATCCACGTTACCTTTACGGTGACTCCTTTTTCTTTATATTCTTCAAATATAATTAAAAAGAGATATCGCTACCCTTACGGTGGCCGCGTTTTTGTTATATTTTGAGAACGGAAATAAAAGATATCGACGGAGTAGAGAAATTAGTTTCTATAAACGACGGCTTCTGTATAGATATCCAGTTGTCCTTAGGATGACCACCTTTTTCTTATATTTTATATATAAGTAAAAGGAGATATATAGTCAGGTTGACCAAGCAGATACACGTTAAATAGAACCAGATTTCGCTCCTAGAACTGTTTTGTAAGGTTATATCTACCGAGCGACTAAAATATTGGCGTAACTGATACTGGTAATACCACGCTAGTCTAGTTAAACGCCATTTTATATCTCCGATTCAACATTATAAAATGTTACTAAATGATTAAAGGTACTACTCTAGGTGACGTTCGTAGTGGATTTCGTCACCCTTCAGGCTGACCCAACGAACTTGCGCCCCGTAGACCCTTTTATCAGCGGTATACTTTTTTTTTCTGTAAGGTTTCTTTTACGTAGAATTAAAACGATAATCGCACTATTAAAGTAATCAAACTAGTATTTAATATTCAGATATTCCGGGGGAGAGTTTAGACTAACATTAATGGGTTACAGGTATCACTTTATTACTTTTATATTCATTAGCGGGAAAATTCGCGTCTGTGTGTTATTGTCATCTTTTTGGTATTCATTGATTAACATTTATTATAGGGTAAAGTATAGGGTTTTATATTGTGCTAAATTATACTATTTAGAGAATCGATAGTGATGTCATAAATATTGTTGTAAAATCGGTCAATGCTCTCAAGTAATAAATTAAGTCATTTAGACTTATGGCCAAAGGGCCGAATTGTAAAGTTTTGGGTTGTCTATAAACAGTACCTGCCCCTTTCAGTAAAGAGTAAACGCATTTTCGGTTTTATTTTTAAAAGGCAAACAGATGTAGAATAGTAGGGTAAATGCCTTGATTTGTATATTTTAAAATTAGATTGCGGTTAAAAAAATATGTTTTCTGTCGTTCTTTGTAAAACAAAATTGGGTAGAGGAATGTTTCCTTTTAGCCGTAAGGAGTGTTAGTTTTGTGTATCGATTTTTCGGGAAAAAGGAGTTATGTACAGCGGCGGGTAGAATCATGAATATTGAGGAGGGTCGTATTTATTTGAATATATCCACATATCTTTAGCAGGACATTATGCGGAAGTAGTCGGTATGTTTGTTATTTATTTAGAATAAATAGGTGAAATTGTGTTTGTGGACTAGCTAACGTATCCTCAGAACTGTGATTAATAACACTGATTTGTTAATCGACAGAGCAAAAGAGCATCGCGTCGAAAAAGAAGCCTTAGGCCACCATAGACCACCAGGGACCTCGATAGTAAGGGCCTAAAAATGTTATTTCCCTTGCGGCTATGTAAATTAAAGCCTGATAGAGGCTTGGATGGATCTCTACTGAGATACCCCAAAAGTGGGCCTGACGGGCATCCCCCTTTATATCAGGTGTTCTCCGATCGACCGTTCAGTGTTTTCCATACAGGACTGAGTATGTCAGTACATTACGGCATTGGAATATTAGGGAAAGGCGTGACCCACGGTGAGATAAATCTACACTCCGGATTTTTACACATGTTACATACATTATTTAATATTTCACCGAACTTCCTGTGCTACCGCTGTACTCTCTTTTATTAGACAATGCGTAATTCAGTATTTCCGTGGAAAGGTGTTGCAATGGAACTAGCTTATTTGGTGAAGTTATAAGTCATCTTCACCTTAATAAACTTTACAGGAATAATTATTTTTCCAATAGTTCCGGACTGTATTTAATAGGGACGTTGAGTTCATAAAGGATCCACTTTTTAGTGTTAATTAAATTATTTGCATATATCTGCTGAACAAGAATGAAATCAAGGTTCTACAAAAAGAAATTAAAGGTTTACTTAACTTACCGGAATAGGAGGGAAGGTCAATTGTCTTCTTTATCCGGGGATGCAGGTTTTCTTCAACTCGCGCAATGCGAGGCGCAACACAATTCGTAACACGAAAAAATATACCTAAATTTATTTCGTTCACGGGTTTGCCGGCTTTGAATTATTAACAAAAATTCCGAGTACGGTGTTTCGATGGTTCGATGTTTCGAGCCCGCTGTTCGTTTTCGTTCTCTCTGTAGTTGCGGCTTTGACAATTCGAAGAAACGGCGAAAAGCCAAAAAAAATGGTTCAAAGTTCAGAAGGAAGGCGATTAAATATCGGAATATGTAGGAATGGGTAAATATATAGGTGAAGAAAGCAAACCTTTATAATAATTAATTATAAACATAATGAAAATTATTAAATATATTAAATATTGATATTACCAAACGCAAAGTGGTTATATATAAAAACGCAATTAATAAATATAAATAATTAATATTGTGAGCCCAAATGAAAACAGATAATAAAAGAATATATATAAATAAATCTTAAAATGCGCGGGAACAGAACAGCTGTGATTGTATATTAGGAGACAAACAAATATACCAAAGTACTTCCGACTTTTATTTTACCCTTTTATGGGAACTAAAAGCTCTGAGGTTAGAAATGACACATTGGAAAGCCTACATAAACATAATGTTAAGCCTAAAAACGGCACATAATCTAAATGTCCAGCTGTACAAAAGGATAGATGTTCAATAAACAGTATTCCAAATTAATCTCGGGGTTTCCTTTGTTCTTCCTCCATTACAGCTACATTGAACTCTTAACGTAATCCTGGGGGTTTTAACCACTTCGTGGGGATCCACTAGACGAAATTTAGGCCAAGGTTAAGGGTATTTGGAAAACTAGGTTAGGTTTGTCAAGTTACAAAATAAACAATCTTAAAATATGTTTTTTTTTATTAAAGAAAAATGCGATTTTATGGGTTTATTATTTATTGTATTTTGTTTCCATATGGTAATGTGTATACAATCGAATATTAAGATTGTACTCTTGCCATCATTCTTTTACTTTTCCAGAACGATTAGGAAATTCACTCTTTCGATATAATATACTGCAATATTTGAGAGCATAATGGTGAAATAGTTTAAATATTTATGGTGGTGTACTATTTGCACGAAACAAAATTACAAATTTTTCGTTCATTCTTACCTTATAGAACATCATTACTTCAGACGCCCCAGTGCTAGATGACGGTGTCTTAAAAAAGCCGTTGTAGAAAATGAAAATGTCATATATTTTATCAAATAACTTAACATAAACCTTCATGGCTCAGATCGTTAAGCGCTTAACTTTGAATTTGGCGACCCGGTTTCAATTCCCGATAAGAGAAAGCTTTTTCATGATTATATATGAAAAATAAAAAAAAATACGAGTATTGCTGGCTATTTATTTAAAATATATTTTATTTATTATAATACAATCATTTTTCATATTCGTTCAAATTAAAAAATAAAATAAAAAAGATTACTTTTATAGGAAATTATACATGGGTCGTGCAATCCAAAATTAAAGATTTTGAGCCATAACGGTTTATATCAAGTTAATTATCTATCTAATTAAATATGTTGAATTAACATTTTCTACAACAGCTTTTTTAAGACACTTTTAACCGAGCGCTGCATTGCTGGTGCATCTGCAGCAAAGTATTACATCTTTTACAAGGCAATAATGAACGATAAATTAGTAAATATTCATGCGCAAATGTGTAACAAAAAAATGTCACTGCATTCCCTACCATTATATTTTAAAAAATACATTTACTTCCGGACATTCCAGAAAAAGTAAAACTGGGGTAAAGCAGACTCTTATTACAAATGGTTAAATAATGAACAATTTTAAAATTTTAACAAAATGGTAAATGTATCTATGTAATTAGCTATTTATAGATTAAAATTGGTACTATTATTTCGGAGATTGAGAGAAAGTTCAAATTTTGTGATACAAATAATTTTACCTTAAGCAGATATTAAGACCGTATAGGTACATTCTTTAACATTAGTTATTTCCTATTGTTCTTCATCTCTAATGTAACTTTAAAATTGTATGAAATTTGTTCATTACAGACCTTTTCTCATAATGCTTTTGAAAATATTTTTCAACAAAATGAATCAGCATGGGGGTCCGAAAGGGCTTTGACAACCACAACCGCCGCCTTTACAAGAACAAGTAGGCGGACATTTTGGAGGCGGCGCGGGTCTAGTGGGTAGTCTCGGTGGGGCGGCTGTAACATTGCATCTTGGGCCACAAACTTTGGTACTATCATTCGGACAACATCGTATTGGGGTTGGTGATGGGCAATTTCGTACTTGGACTCTTGGACAAGGAGATGCTGGACAAGGAGGAGGATAACGCGGGCATGGAAAAGGGGGTTGCGGAGGTGGAAAACAACTACTAGTGCATCCTGGTGGCGGTGGCGGGCATGGAGGCGGTGGAGGCATGCATGGAGGTGGGCATGTAGGTGGGCATGGAGGTAGGATTGGAGGAGGTGGGCATGGAGGTGGGCATGGTGGAGGAGCTCCGCAAGGTCCACAACATGATGGCAAACATGGAGGTGGAGGATCACACATTTTCTATTGGTTCTATTGGTATCTGAAATTTAGTTATTTTTATTATAGTGCAATGCTAATCAGTAGGTAATACCGGTCTTCCCAAGTTCGCGATAAAAAAAATGAGAAGTATTGTAACCGTGAAAGAGTCACCCTTCGAAATTATTTCAGATTTTGACGTTTCAGGGTCCCTACATTACGAAAAACACATTTCCCCATTCTGTCAGTCTGTCTGTCTGTCGTCTGTCGCTGTAATAATTGGCATTATTCTTTGAAAATATAAAGAAATTACCAAAAATTCTAAAAAAACACACGTAGGTATTGCAAAAATATCAACAATTAGGTTATTATTCTAGTCAATGGCTTACATTGAACAAGAGAATTCAAGGTAGAACGTTGACATTTTTAAAAGTAAAACTGTCATATAAATTTTGGATTTATATAGAGAGTCTAGACAGAAAGAAAAGACTCCAGTGAGGACTGAGGTCCAGACTCTCGCCAAAGGCGAGATCTCTCTTGTCAAAACCAGTGAGATATTTCGAGCATTTAAGAAACCTAGGCGTTTCTATTCCCTTAAGATTAGAAGAGTCTTAAACTAGTTGCCAAGAACCGCTCAACTATGCTATTAAGGGATAATTTTTCTTTTAATTTATTTTTTTAATTTTTATTTGCCACTGGTAAATGGATGTTTCGTCTGGATTCCAGGACCCTTTGGCTGGTGACAGTGCTGCCTTAATCCCTTAATAGTATATTAACAGTAGCTAAAGACCTATCAGTAGTCATAAATGATCTTTAAGCTAGTTGGTTGTTACATCGCTAAGACAGTATCGACGACTGTATTTCAGCAATCAGAAGAAGTTCACTAATATACTCTTTATTCGAATTCATTTTTGAAGACTGAATACAATTTTAATAATATTTCACATCTTGCATAGTTCAACGCTACAAAAAACAATCCGAAATGTTTATGATCTTTGGCTGGAATATTAGGTGAGACTCACTCTTCCAGGAGTCCTGGATTTTTAATAGCGGTCATATAAGTGGCCTTGGAAACTGGTCTGGTAAGTTGGTAGCCGGTAACTCTCCGGAAAAACCAAGGGCATGCCATCTTAGTTGAAATAATATTAAAAAAATTATGTTAACAGGTTACTGCATGCACCCCTGATGTGGTTGCAGCCCATGCTCAAGCCCAACGGGAACAACAGTAATGTTGTCGTCGTCTGCTTTGCTTACTTCCCGGGAGACACAGGTCAAGACCAACCATCTCCTCCAGCGATAGTGCGAGAACTAGTTACTAGTTGCCTTTTGCAAGAGGAACAACCAACAGCTCATCATTGGGTACGCTAACATCCACCATAGAGACTGGGGAAGTACAGATACCAATGTGCGAGGTGAACAAATATATAATTATATAATCGGTGAACGGCTTATTGTAGACTCGGAATAAACTTTCGTAAGGAAAAGTCGTGCAGAAGTTCTAGACAAAACATCAGTACGCAGTTTGTGGTACCAATATTGTTAACTGGGTAGCTATTCACTAAGTCTTGGGAGCGCTCCCATGGGAGTGTTCCCATATATTTTGCTCTCTTACTCTTAGGTGGGTATATCGTGCTTACTCCGACTTACATCGTCCTTTTTTGATAAAATCGTTAAAAATACTGATCAGAGATGAGATATCAGAAACAAATCATCTCTATCTTAACCAACAGATATCTATACGTATACCAGCGAGGAAAATCAACGAACCTGAGGTTAGACGATCTAAACAGTTAACAGGCTGCTTTCAAAGTCAATAAAAGTACAGAGGACAAAAAATTGCAAAAGCCATTTTCTTTGATATCAACGGATCGTAATTTTTCAACATGCACAATATCCCAATCACAAAGAATGGCGTGTCAGAAGCATTTCCTTTTTATTGTTTTATAGGTACACATAACACATGCCAAATTAAAAATAGTGAAAATTGTATTCAACTTACTTGAAAATTAATGAGATGGTGTCGATTTAATGATATGGGATATGAATTCACTGGAATTTTGATGTTAACAAATCTGACATTTACGTTTCAAGAAACAATAAATTAAAATTGTTGCCAACTTTGTACTTCAATTTGAAGACATCACAGATATTATTCCTGTGTCAGGATAAGCGATCTCTCTGAATTTATGAAACTGAGAATTATATTTTTGAATTCTACTCTACCTATAAATTTCCGAATAAAATTATCCTTTTGCAGCGCGAGAAATCTCGTAACGTTATGAATATCGCCGCATAAAGTCAAAATAGTTACGACAGATAAATATCCTAATGAGATTTAAGTAAAAAAAATTTAGTCTTCATAAAGGGGATCGGACTAAACCGACTAAAGGATGGTAGTTGACATTTCAAACGAAATGTTTTTCAATGGTGCTTAAGGGGAATAGAAATTAAAACCTAATTTCCTGGGACTACAATTTCGGCTTTAGGAGATTTCGTCGTCGAATTCCGTCGGGCAGTCCCCGGCGGATTCGATTACAAATTCGAAAAGGGTTTCACGCGGCCAAATCCAGGGCTCTAAAAGTCCCTTCTTTTCTCGGTCTGTAATGTAATTTAAGTGGTAAACACTAGTCGATTCTCAGGTTATCGAAACAAATTACAGTAGTTAAGATTAAGAATAAAAAGTATCTACCCTTCGAGCATATATTACATGCTCGAAGTATCTACCTCGGAAACATGGGCGTCGTTTGGGGGGGCAAGGGGTGGCAGTTGCACCCCGTGGGTTTTACGACTTAATTAACAACGCGTAAGATATGCATTACGAACAATAATCTCATAGAAATAATATTCAGGCTAATATAGTTGAAGAATATATTTATTGCATATCTGGATTCCCTTATTACGTCGCTTACATCACGCTTTTCGGAAGACTCTAGTGTTAATTTTTCCTTAAGCCTGTTACATCCCAAAAACATAAAAAATAATACTTTTTTCAATACCGATCATAAAATGAAAATAGTGGAAAAATTTGGAATCGACAATTTTGAAGCTGAATACCAAACATGGATAGCTAACAGTACGAGAGCTTTCTGCACATAATGAGCTTTCTGCACATAATGAGCTCTCCATTATTGATATAGCGTCCAAACATTGTAAATTTTATCTAGACATACAAAGAGCTTTAAAAATATTTATGGCTCTTCCACCAACGACAGCGTCAATCGAAAGAACCCTAAGGCATGTTAAAACATGGCAGCGGTCTATTCGCTGAGTGCGAAGTCATGGTAGAGGAAGCAAAAGCTCTGGATATTTCGAGTACTCTAGGGCAATATTTTGTAATTTTGACGTATCAAATACACGTATACATATTATTTTTTTTTTTTTTAAATGGTTAAAAACAATAAAATGAGCAACCGGAGTTGCTATGTTGTAAATTGTAAAAATACTAGCAAAAAAACTGTAAATTATATAAATTTTTCAATAGCAAAATGGAAATTAAATCAATAAATAAATGGATAGCTGTATAAATAAGAAGAAAAAAAACCTTTATTTTTGTAATAATAACAGTAATACTGGAAAAAAAGACATCAGAAAATTGAAAGGTTTTAAATAAACAATAAATTATCATTTTATAATGTTCTTCAATGTCCCTTAAATCTTAAATGTTTAGTAAGGATTAGATGTATGCCTTTGATTATTATATATCGCTGAATTGTCATCTTGTGACTTATTGATTGGAAACCAGTTTTAATAATTAATTTCTATGGGTTCTTTCGACCTCAAAATGAAAAAAAAAATATAAATTACAATCGTAAATATACCAATTATTTTTGTTAATACGTTTTCGAGGTTATTATATAGTGGTAATGTTTTTATTTTGACATTATGTAACCTATTCTTCAATGACAACTTATTAGGCTTAGGCAACATCTCATAAATTTTCTCGTTAATACCTGCCTATGTTTTATTATTGATTTTTATTGATTATACTACTTTTTTTAGCTGAAGTAATAAAAATATTTAATATTAATAAAAAATTAACTATTTCACTTGTTTTACAAATCCATATACTTTTATTAAAATCAACATATATATATTTTTAATTACGAATTCTACTAAAAATTGTATTGTCAGTATACGCAAATATCGTCCGTTAGTTCATAAAATAGTTGGCGCTGCTGTCACGTACGGAGCGAATAATACATGAAAATAGGCTGACTGGGCTATACATGATGAGCGTACATCGAAAAATAATCGGAGAAACCAAATAAAGAAATGATGTTTTCTTTTATCTTGGAAATTAAAAATTTGCTTCTTCCTGGTGTTTTTTTTTTGTGTTCGTCGACGTGTTTGAGTTTTTTTATGTTTTTGTGTTTTTATAAATTTTTATTATTATGTATGGCTGTGTCTTCTTGTTCATATTTTTCTTTTATATCACACCTTCTATTTGTTTTTTTTAAATGTGTTTTAACTATCTTGTTTTTTTTTTAATTTAGTTTTTGTCTTTTTTTTGGGTTATTTTATTTATTAGAGACTTGTTAATTTGTATTGCTCTTTTATTTTTAATTTTCTTTGTTTTTCAACAAATAGACATACTAATTTTTTTTCAAAATGTTGCCCCTCCCTATAAAATTGTGTAACGACGCCCATGCTCGGAATTATGTTTGGCGGAAGAAACTAAGTTACTTTCCACAAAATTTGCACACTGGTAAATCGGAACTTGCAGCGGATACAGCAGGAACGGAAGAGAGCTCTACTTCGTGTGGTTCGGATTCTTGTCCCCGTCGGACTAGTTCGGTCTTTTGTCCTCCTACCTCAACGGTTCGAAGGACGTACCCATAGAAAAATGAAGTACCATTTTCCAAATCTACTGTTTACATTCGGAGCTGACAAAAAATGCTTTCCTGATAACAGCGAAATTTACGAGATAATTTACAAGAACTTGAGCGTTTAAAACAGGATTCCAATTTCGGTAAAGAATGAAATATTTTTTTTCAGGGTTCTCACAAATGTTCTCAAGCGGAAATTACCTTATAGTAGACAATTTATTTACTAATATTTTACTAATATTCTTGATGCTCTTGGGTTAGTTGCTCTATGGAAAGACAATGAATCTTCGTCGAAAGCTGAAACCGTAACGCGTAGCCTACTCAAACACCATCAGAAATTTTATAAAAAAAAATCAATAGACAAGAGTTTGGCAGAATCACTAGTTAACGATATAATTTCGGTTTTAATTCAAAAACGAGAAAAATATTAATACTTGTTTTGATAAAAGTTTTGCGATGTTGTCGAAATACACGAAAAATTGTTTGTTCCTATAATGATTTCTAGAATACCCTTAAGGCAAAACAGTCGAAGTAATGTTCAAAATGAAAATCCCAAAGATTTTTTAGAATTAGTATTTTTATACCACTCTTGGATATTATTCAAGACATAAAATTTCGATTTCACTCAAAAATTTAGAAATAAATAATTTAATTCCATCGATATTATTAAATCTTGATGAGGCCAGAATAAAATTAGTTATATTTATCAAAATTTTTGAAAAATATTTCAAAGGAAAGCAGTGATTTTATATCGGCTACTCTAGATTCGAAGGTAGATTTGTGGGTTGCCAAGTGCATAGGTAAAACACGATAAAAGTTAATAATAGAATAGGCAACAATAAGAAAAGGATATAAAACAGTTTACTTAGATATAAAAAAATAACAATAATTATAAATGCATACCAGCATTTTCTATTTGAAGTTAGACACAAATTTACTTTGCACTTAATACAGTAAACCTGGGTGTCAGATTTATAGCCAGCCAGCAGACTGACGACATTTTTTGGTAATTCTTGGTCATCGACGTCATGTTACCAAAAAATGAGTTATGACGTCACTTCTTTAACGTCTTTTTGACAAATTCGACGTCAGTGTGACGTCAATTTATTGTCACTATTTTTTTTTTTTTTTTTTAATTTTGTGTCATAAATTAAGGTTTATATTAAACGTGATTTCAATACATTTTATTTATGTAAAATAATATGGCCTAAACAATTATTTTTTAAAACTCTTAGGTCTATTAACGTTTAAATCTGGCGCTTAAATGCATAAAGATTGTATGACACCACGTGACACATGACTGCGTCTGTCTGTGGTTATCGGTCTATGGAGTATGGCTCCTGTGTGTTCGAGCCGTTCGAGCAAGCACCAGAACGGTATCGCAGATTGTTGCATCGGCCATGCCATGTGTAATGGTGTGTGCATCGTGGATTGTGGCCCGTGTGCATTCAGGATTGTTGTTAAAAGTCAGTGAAAAAAGTTATATCAGTATCAATCAACCCAGCATAAGGTATTTTTATACCTATATTATCCTTATTCTTTAATAATTTTATATCTTTTACATTCATAGGATGTTTCCAGGTTCGTGAAATAATATAAAATGGCGACACTCATAGAAAAATCATTGTGCCAAACCAAAATAATAACGAACAAGTTGGCCACATTTGGAGCAGTTGGATTTATATAAATTAATGTTTTTTGCCAATAACATTTCATGTAGGTATTTAAACTGTTTTTTTCTTTTTAATTATAATTATTTCATTTTCTAATTTTGTTTTATTAAGTGGCCCACAGTTCCTATAGAAAAGTTACAAAGGAGTAACAATATCAAATGTAACGTCATGGTGACGTCTCAAATAACAATAAAGAATAACGACAAAGGTGACATTAAAACAACGTTATAAAAACGTCATAATGACGTTATAAAGACTACTAGAAAACGTCATATTTAGGTGAAAAGGGCGTCTAAATATGACGTCATTTGGGCTGTGACATATTCACGTCATTTTACCGTCATTATCACGTTAGTTTTCAGAGGATAAATGACGTCCTGTATGACGAAAATAAGATGTCATAATGACATCAGTCTGCTGCCTGGGTTGCACGTTTTTCAACTACGGTCTAATTGATCTGGGCGATGACCAATGTGATCGAACCAAGCATCCTCTGGAATGTCATAAGTGCGACGAATACCAGATGAATGTTTAGCTACTTTTTTGGAGACGAGATGGTCGACCAACTGGTTTCCAGTCTGGAAGTGTCCGACTCATTATCAACGACCGAGCAACTTCGGTTGTGAATTGTGAAAGTTGTCAGATCAGAATAATCTGATCCACCTGCATGAAAGCGTCGATAAAGAAGATAGGCATTTGTCAAGGAGATATCCAGCATATGATAGAAGACTAATTTCAAGGAGGCACTTTTGGTCTTCAAACGAATGTGGTCGGTACATTAGACCACCCATCAGGTCAACACTACCCA